CTACCCACCTTCCCGTTGCAGTATTAATGATGCTCTTTTTCTGTTAAAGTAAGTTACCCACCTTTCCGTTGCAGTATTCACGAAGTTCTTTTTCTGTTAAAGTTGTTCCGTTCTTCAGTTTTACCCAGGCGCCCACTTCTTCTCCCAGTCGTGGGTCTGGAACTCCAATTACCTGTATTAACAGATTTCTAAGTTATCAATACATGTATATTAAAGAAATGCTCGAGTTTTAATTCCTTAATTATATCCGTACGATCTTTAGCGTTAGATTTATTCATTCTTACAGTTTCATACGTCTCACATAAAACTGCTTTCTATGGATAAGTCAATCAAACTGGTACAATTTAAAATAACTTTCTTCTGTAGTGTAATATAATACTTCTCTCGATGTGGCTACCTGGTCAAGGTTTGGTAAACATCTTACTAATATTTAAACTTAACGATCAAAGTTCATGGTTATCATCGAGTTATCCTGTTAACGTTAACACTGTTTTTGTTGTCTTATCTTTTCAACACTGACATACTATACTGGAAACTTGAATAATACAACTATCAAATTAGATACGCTTACCTGGACTTCCGCGACAAATGGGTGCGTGTGAAGGAACTCTTCTACTTCCCGAGGGTAGATGTTTTCACCTCCCCTAATTATCACCTCTTTAATTCTACCAATAATGCTGATATAACCGTCTTCGTCCATCACGGCAATATCTCTGTTTGTTAGTTCAATAGATGTCATGAGGCAGAAAGATTGGAAATTATAAGCATACTTTTATAAAACAAAAATTCTGTTCTTATTCATACTTATAGTCAATAGGATTTATGTTATAAAATATTTATAACGTTATATCAGCAGGACCGCGATTTCTCAATTCATTAGGTTGGGGTGTAAAGGTGGGAGGGACTGTTATCGCTGAAAGTTCTGGACTATGAAGCTAAGCCTTGTTTTTGTGTATGTTATTTACGTCTTGGATTTATTTTCTTATTCTGCTTCGTATTTTGGGGGTTGTTTTAGACTACCATATCTAAATAACTCAGTTGAATATATTTAGTTCCGACTTTTTTTTTTGTGATTTAAGATCTCAAGTTAATTAATTTTTAGAACTAAACTACTTTCGCGAATATACATAAGGATTTTTTGCACCGTTACCATGACTATATCGGTATGCGAGGCTTAATAGGTTTGTAAAATTTTCCTTAAGCCCCCGAACCAAGTACTTCCTATTTCAGATTATTTGAATTTTTATTTATTTATTATGTTTCCCGGTGGGACAACGGTAAGTCTTAGGACTTATAATGCTAAAATCATGTGTTCGATAATTGTACCAATAATTATTCTATCAATACGTCATGAATTCATTTTATGAATGATCTTAATTTTGATTGGTTCACAAAAGAATTTACTGACGACTGACTGCCTCGACTGCACTTTTCTGCTTTTTTGTTGGTCAAGCTTGATTTCGCAAAATTTATTTATTTCAGTTAACTATGAAATGTGAGGTTA